TATCTCCCAGTTTCTTGTCTGTCTCTTATCATGATTGTCTTGTTATGGTGTATTCCTTAAAGCTTTTAGGTTTTATGTCTTGTCCAAGGATGTCCCTACTTCAAAGTAAAAACCCATTTCCTATAGTTTCTTCTAAAACTTTCTGAGTTGTGATTTTAACATTTACATATCTTATCCATCTGGAATTTATTTCTGTGAATGGTGTAAGGTAGAGACCATACGCCTTTTTTCAAAATAGCCAGTTGTTCAACACCATTTATTCAATACTTTATTATGTCCTAAATCATCTTCTCTAAAATCCAAAAATTACACCAAATGTCTGAACCATTTCTGGAATATCCATTTAGATCTACTGGTCATTTTGTATCCCCTTGTTCCAATTGACAATGTACTGTATTTCTTCTAAACGATAGCCGAATTATGGAAAGAACCCAAATGTCCATCGACTGATAAATGAATAAAGATTATACACACACACACACACACACACACACACACACACACACACAATGGAATATTACTCAGCCAACAAAAAGAATGAGATCTTGCTATTTGCAATGATGTGGATGGAACTAGAGAGTATTAGCGAAATGTCAGTCAGAGAAAGACAGATACTATATTATTTCACTCATATGTGGAACTTAAGAAACAAAACAGATGAACAGGGCGGGCGGGGGGGGGGGGAAGAGAGGCAAACTAGAAAAACAGATTCTTAACTATAGAGAACAAACTGAGAGTTACCTCCCTAGAAGGGAGGTGGGTGGGGGATGGTTTAAATGGGTGATGAGTATTAAGGAAGGTACTTGCTGTGATGAGTATTGGGTGTTGTATGTAAGTGATGAACTACTAAATACTACACCTCAAACTAATATTACACTGTTAACTAACTGGAATTTAAATAAAAACTTGGAAAAAAAAAACAAAATAAAAAATGCCTTAGAGGCACCTGGGTGGCTCAGTGGGTTAAGCCTCTGCCTTCCACTCAGGTCATGATCTCAGAGTCCTGGGATCAAACCCTGCATCGGGCTGTCTGCTCAGCAGGGAGACTGCTCCCCTTCTCTCTGCCTGCCTCTCTGCCTATTTGTGATCTCTCTCTCTCTGTCAAATAAATAACAAAAAATCTTTAAAAATTTTTTTAAAAATGCCTTAAAACATTTGCTTTTTAAAAAATTTAGTTACTTATTTTTTCTTAATTAAAGTATAATATATAGCTTATATTAGTTTCAGGTATGGAATATGTATAATTCAACAATTCTATACATTATTCAGTGCTCATCAAGATAAGTGTGTTTTTGATCCCATTTATCTATTCCACCCCTGTCCCGAACCTTCTCCTCTGTGGCAACCACAGATTTGTTCTCTATGATTAAGAGTCTAGTTTTTTGCTTGTCTCATTGTTCACTTGTTTTGTTTCATAAATTCCACATGTGAGTGAAATCATATTATATCTGTCTTTCTCTTATTTCACTAAGCATTAAACCTTCCAGATTCATCCATATTGTTGCAAATGGCAAGATCTCATTCTTTTTTATGGCTGAGTACTACTCCAATGCACTGAGTACTACTCCACTACTCCACATCTTCTTTATCCATTCATCTGTGTATGGACACATGGCTTGCTACCTAATATGTTGGTTATTGTAAACAATGCTGCAATAAACATGGGGCTGTATATATCTTTTCAAATGGGTGTAGTTTTTTGTTTTTTGTGGGTTTTTTTTGGATAAATATCCAACAGTGTTATTACTGATCATATGGTTTATTTCCATTTTTAATTTTTTGAGAAACTACTATTTTTCACAGTGGCTGTATCAATCTGCATTCCCACCGTCAGTGAATAAAGCTGGAGGTATCACAATCCCAGAATTCAAGATCCACTACAAAGCTGTAGTAATCAAAACAGTATGATACTAGCACAAGAACAGACACATAGATCAATGAACAGAACAGAGTCCAGAAATAAACCTATGCTTATGTGGTCAATTAATCTATGATAAAAGAGGCAATAATACACAATAGTGAAAAGATAGTCTCTTCAACAAATGGTCCTTGGATAACTAATTTGCATGTCATCCTTGTCCAGGAGCCATGTTAATTTTCTCTCTATCATTCCAATTTTAGTATATGTGCTGCCAATGCAAGTGTTGGGAAAAGTAAATGGCTACATGCAAAAGAATGAACCTGGACCACATTTTTATACTATACACAAAAATAAACTCAAAATGGATTAAAGACCTAAATGTGAGATCTGAAATCAAAACTCCTAGAAGAAAACATTAGCAGTAATTTAATTTCTTTGAAATTAGCTATAGAAATGTTTTTCTAGATAAGTCTCTTCAAGCAAGGAAAACAAAAGCAAAATTAAGCTATTGGGACTACATCCAATACCCCTTGTACAAGAGGGCCTGGGTGGCTCAGTCCATTAAGCATCTAAATCTTGTTTTTTTTCAGCTTAAGTCATGATCTCAAGGGTCATGGGATGCAGCCAGGGTGGGGCTCTGCACTCAGCAGAGTTTGCTTAAAAGATTCTCTCCCTCTGCCCTTCCCTCTCACTCACACTCATGCTCCCTCTCTTTAAAATAAATAAATAAGTCTTTTTTTTTTTTTAAGATTTTATTTATTTGAGAGAGAAACAGAGAGCACAATCGGGGAGGGGGGTAGAGGGAGAAGCAGACTCCCTGCTGAGCAGGAAGATTGATGATTTGGGGCTCAATCCCAGGATCCTGAGATTATGACCTGAGCTGAAGGCAGAAGCTAATGGACTAAGCCACTTATGTAACCCATAAATACATAAAACTTAAAAAAAAAAAAAAAAGCTGGGCACCTGGGTGGCTCAGTTGGTTAAGCAACTGCCTCTACCTCAGGTCATGATCCTGGAGTCCTGGGATTGAGTCCTGCATTGGGATCCCTAATCAGCAGGGACTTGGCTTCTCCCTCTGACCCTCTCCCCTCTCATGTTCAATCTCTCTCTCTCAAAACAATAAATAAAATCTTTTTTTTTAAAGATTTTATTTATTCATTTGACAGAGAGAGAGAGAGAGAGAGAGATCACAAGTAGGCAGAGAGGTAGGCAGAGAGAGAGGGGGAAGCAGGCTCACTGCTGAGCAGAGAGCCCGATGCGGGGCTCGATACCAGGACCCTGAGATCATGACCCGAGCTGAAGGCAGAGGCTTAACCACAGCCCCATTCAGGCGCCCCCAATAAATAAAATCTTAAAAAAAAAAAAAAAAAACAAACTTTTGTACCATGGAGAAAACCATTAACAAAACAAAAAGGCTACCTATTGAATGGGAAAAGATATTTACTAATGGTATATCCAATAAGGGGTTAGTATCCAAAATATATTAAGAACTGATACAACACCAAAAAACCCAAATAATCCAATTAAAATGTGGATGGAAGACCTGGATAGATATTTTTCCAAAGACACACAGATGAAACACACACATGAAAAGATGCTCAACATCACTGATAATCAGGGAAATGCAAATCAAAACCACAATGAGATGTCACCTTACACCTGTCAGAATGGTTAACATCAAAAACACAAGAAATAACAATTGTTGGTGAGGATGTGGAGAAAAACATTTTCTCTTTCTTAAGAATTTTATTTTCTTTATTTCTATTTTGTATTTTTTTAAGAATTTTTATTTATTTATTTGACACAGAAAGCACAAGCTGGTGGAGTAGCAGGTAGAGGGAAAGAGAGAGGGAGAGCATGCTCCCCAGTGAGCAAGGAGGCAGATGTGGGGCTCTATCCCAGGACCCTGGGATCATGACCTGAACTAAAGGCAATCGCTTAACCAATTGAGCCACCCAGGTGCCCCTATTTTATTTTTTTAAAAGATTTTATTTATTTATTCACGAGACAGAGAGAGAGAAAGAGAGAGGCAGACGCAGAGGGAGAAGCAGGCTTCCCATGGAACAGGGAGTCCAATGCAGACTCTGATCCTAGAACTCTGGGATCATGACCAGAGCTAAAGGCAGTTGCTTAACTGATTGAACCACCCAGGCACAATTTTCTTATGAATTTTAGAATCATTTCCTTAAAAATAAGTAAATTCTGATGACAGATTAGAATAACAATAATTAGAGAGGGGGTAGAGGGTTTCGTGAGCCTGGTGGTGGGTATTATAGAGGGTACGTATTGCATGGAGCACTGGGTGTGGTGCATAAACAATGAATTTTGGAACACTGAAAAGAAATAAAATAAAATAATAAAATTTTACTCTATTTAAAAGTTTAAAACAAAATAAAACATGTATTTATGGATCAATTTGAATAAATTCAATGTTCTTTCTATTACCATTAGGCAGACTTGACATTCAGGCTCAGTATTTATTAGGCACATTGAGTTTTTATCATTTAAAAATAAACAAAGAAGTAAATCTATACTAACTAAGTTACTCAGGTGTTTTCTATGGTACTTAGCTAAAAATAAACAAAGAGGCTATACTTATGGTGATAATGATGCTTTAGATCTTTTCATATTATCAAGTTTGTTTCCTCATCATCAAAAGAAAATTATGAATAATCCAAATGAATAAGGATTATTTCTGTAATCTCAGAACATTTTCTATAATTACCTATTTATAAAATCATGATTGGATAATTTGTGATTATTTTATATTGGCCATTTATCATTACCAAAACTGAATAGCAGAGGCCAATGATTAATGATATTGATAAATATATTGTTAAACTCCAGCTTAGAACATTTGAAAACTCAAATTGTTTCACAAATTCCGTACCTTCCCCAAAATTCTAGAATTAAATAACAACTTTAGCTCTAGGTGAAAATAAAGACTTAATTTGGGACCATTATTAGTGTGAATAATTCATTTATTCATTATTCGCTCATTCATTCAACATATTTTAATTTTAGAAAATGCTGAATGCTTTGAACTGTATTACAAGTTAGGTACAAAATAATAGTAAGAAACACCTTCATTCAAGAATGAGGAAAATAAATGCAAGAATAATGGCATTATAATACTCACTTTCCCTTCATCTCTTGGGCTATCACTTAAATGTACAACTGGACCTGGATGAGTCTTCGTGGATCTGTTAAATCAATTCAAAATAGTAATTAAAAAATTAAAATTAAAATACCTTACCACTATAGACTGGAACAAAGAAATTACACTGGAGCACACTCCCTATATTCTGAGGTTTAAACTTAGATTCATTTGAATTTTGTTTTTTTTTTCTTTAAGACTACTTTTCTTTCTCTTATTAACTCTATTAAAGCAGGTATAATTTTTTAAAATTAGGTATAAGAACATATATCCACATAACAACAAGATTCTTCATTTTTATAACATAAAAATTATATAGTTAAAAATATTAATAATGAAAGTGATGTTTTAGATCTTTCCATGTTATCAACTTTGTTTCTTCATTATCAAAGAATAATTATTAATACTCAAGATGAATTATGTCTTTTCATCAAATTATGAATTTATGAATTGATATTTATGTTTGTTGCCAAATCTAAGCCTCTGAAAATTTGAAACTGATCTTATACAAAGAAATCTTACATGGCCACAAGGCTAATGCTATTAGCCTGTTTCAGCCAAATTGCCAAGTACATAACTGATTTATAACTTCCTTTGATATAACACCTCTGATTTTTCTCCTAAGAAAAGTACAATAGTTCCTTTGATTTACAAAGAAACTCTCTCTAGTGATAGCCAATGTACAGAAAACTGACAAACTGGGGAATCCTAGTTTGCTGGTTATGTCTCATTTATGTGTTAATCAATAACAGGGTAATCAATAACCGATAACTATGTGTCTAAGTGTATATTGTTAAAAGGACCTGTGCTCTGTAAATCTGACTTTAAATTTATTCTACTCCAGTGCTCGCTTCGGCAACACATATACTAAATTTATTCTACTCTGATATTTGGCATGTTTCTTTTATATCTCCTACTTCAATATATCATTGTTGAGTATTGTGCCATGTTAAATACAATATGACCTGATATGACCATATATTTATTATTATTCATTTTTCCACATCCTTTCTTCAACAGTCTAATTATGCCAGATTAACCCTATTATGATTATATTGACAGTTATAATTTATTTCTTTTAAATATAATTTATTTCTTATTCATATATGAACACCATCAAAGATTCTTCATAACACAGTAAAGATGAATAAATTTTAAAACTTTTTGGGAACAGATAAAAGTCACAAATTAAATAACTCCAGGTTTCCCAGATACTAACTCTCCACAGAGACTCAGAGGAATATATACAGACTTATTAGATATTTTCTTAATGGTTTTATCCTGAATTTTCTTATCTAAAGATAGAGATAGTAGTACTGATCCTACTGAGTAATTATGAGGATTAGAATATTTATATAGAGTACTTAATATAATGTCAAAACATAGTAAGTACTCAATGAATAGTATGTATTATGACTGTTGTAAATCACTGGAATAATTGGAAACTAATACTATCTGCATTATAAATGCCGTGTTTTATTAAAGTGCCTCTCATAAGGAACAGTGTCCTTCAATTATCCCTTGGAAACTAATAATATCCAAAAAACTACAAACTCCTGTTTCTTGGTATGATTGGAAGAACAAATCCCGGTGTATTCCATGATAAGCTAATGAATATATAAGGTATTTCACATAAAGAGTGTTACATATCAAAAAGTTTGAGAAACCCTAAATTAAACATGGTTTTTTTATTCTTCTACAAAGCTTCTTAGAGCCATAATATGCAGTGAATATTCACTGAAATATATTTTGAGAAACACTAGTTAGACCAAATGCAAAACTCTTATTTAGACTCTCAGTTTGTAAAACACTCAAGTTCAGAAAATAATTTAGCATTAAACTTCAGTTATTTGTATTGACTTTTTCAGACTTCAGAAGATATATTATTTGTTGTTAAAAAAAAAAAGAGTTCCAAACTTACAAGACACTAATAGTCAACAGAAAAAAATCTCATATTATTTTACTGCCTAAATGTAATGACTACTAACATTTTGATACATTTTTTTCTGACTTTTCCCCTGATATCATACTTCCAAAACCCATCAAGCATTCCTTGAAAGACTTATGGCCATTAGAAATTGACTTAAAAAATAAAAAAAAATTAGTGTACTCTGGATTCTGTAAATTCTATAAAAATTACTTTAGATAGACTGATCAATGAACTTAAAATCATATGATATCCATCTAAATAATGCCCAATAATTCTTCTAGGTATCCCTCTTTACCTCTATTCTTCTCATTTACCATAATAGCTTCTTAATAGTTTCTTTTATGGGCCTTCTTTCTCTTCCTTTATCTTAAATAGTGATATTCCTTTGTACTCTATCCTAGTCTGTTATCTATTCCCATATCATATGTGGTCATGAATGTGTGGTCAAGAGCACACAGGAGCCAGGCAGGTATTGCAAATGAAACAAATATGCTGAATGAGAGCTGTAGCAAACTGGATAGCACATTATCCAACTACAAAAGGAAAGCTGTTACTCAGTTCCAGGTGGTTACTGACTGCCATGCAATAAGAAACTAGAATTGTCTCAGGAATTTTCATGAAAATCTGGAAATCCAAATTTTTATTGCTCTCTAATATTAGAACTCAGAACATATTTGAATACTCTGATAGCCAAATAAAACATATATGTGAGTGAGAATTGGTTGACTGTCTACTAATTTGCTACTTGTTTTCCATGCACTCTTCATGCACAATCTCCTCTTTTCAATGACCATAAATTCTATCTCATTACCTTCAGATCCATATTTCCCACTTCCTACCACTTTCCCATACCAATTCCATTTGAATGTCTTATAAACACATACAACTCAACCTACCTAAAACTGAACTCATTATTTTTTTTTCCCAACTATCTCCTGCTTTCTTTCACTAAATGACACCCTTATCCACATAGTTGCTCAAGCCTACACCTGGGGGTCTTTCTTAATTCTCCTCTATTATTGTATCTTCCCATAATACCCAAGTCTTGCCTCTTATGTCTTCTATGTATTTAATTATGTCAGTTTATCTCCAATCCTAAATCAATGATAATGTTTACCAAGAATATAGTCTTTTCTCTCTTTAATCATTTCTCTATACCTGCCTTCAGAGTAGTCTCCCTAAATGCAAATTTGATCAAGTCAATTCTCTGCTTAAACCCCTTCAAAATCCAGCTCCTGGCCTTTTTAAGTCCAAACTTCTCAAACTGGCCTACAAGGCTTTCATATTTATACCCTGATTACCTCTTTTCATCCTTTACCTTTTATCATACTCTCTCCCAGGTATTCCAACCAACTAAACTACCTAAAATTCCTATGCATGGAACAAAAACTCTCACACTCTATCCTTTAAATCTTCTATCCCCTCTTCCTAAAATACCTCTAACTCTGTCTCCCAAGTCTTCACTCAACTAACTAAAATTCTCATCCTTTGGATCTCAATATAGATAAAATTTCCTTTACAGATATTTCTTTGAGACCACATGTTAGGTGTCCTTCTTATAGCATTGCTACATTTTATTTCCAATATATTGTAATTGCCTTTTTAATTAATCTCATTAGACTGAAAGCTCCAAGAGGACAGTAATGATGTCTTCCCAGTTCATAGTTGTTTCCAGTATCTAGCATACGACAGTGCACAATAAATACATTTCAGTGATTGTTAGTAAAACATAAGCCTTATACTTATGATTTATTAATCAATTTCATGCTCAAACATTAATCATATGTGGAAAACAAGGTTGCATTTTTTTAAAAAGCTGGGGCCGTCCTGCAGAAACATCTACTTCTACACTATAACCTGGAATAACTTTCCCATAGAAAAAAAATTTTAATGTTCTTTCAGTTCTATGCTACTACTTTATGAGATGTTCTACAAACATCAATGTTTCTATGGAAAATGTGCTCCAGTTTCCAAATAATCAAAATATACATTTTGGGAACACTATTTATAATTATGAGAACTGCCTAAAATTATAATCAGGACACTTCACTAATAATAGAAACAAACTGAAAAATAACATTGAATAAAAAGTATTTCAAGTAAGAACTTAAATTGAAATAATTTCACATATCTCTTAAAGACAATTCTGCATTTGCCATACTTAGAAAATGTATTGTTGAAATATGTGTGTAAAATTATGTTTATGAAATGACTCTTTTAAATAAATATTTTATTATTGTCCCATACACCTGGCACATATTAATAGAAAGTGGCATGCATTTTCTAATGTATCTCAATAGGTAGAGAGCAATTAAAAGACAGAAGACTGGCAGTTGGAATTTTAAATTATGTAGATCAAATGGATCTATAACTCCATGGAATACATTTCGGGAAAACTGGTCTAAGTAAACCAAGATATATGAATATGGAAACAAAATAGCAAAAGTGGTGAAATACTATAATAATCTAATACTACTATAATAATCTATTTAGATTATGAACTTCATAATTAGCATTCAACTGAACACAAATATTACATATATTATTATTTGTACTAATATTAAATTTGTATAAAAGTTCTATAATTCAGTCTCTCAAGTTTATTTACATTTTTATCAATATCCTGAGAAAATTATGAAAGCAAACATTAAGTTCAGCCCTATTTACAACTTTTATAGCACTCAGATTATAGTGGGGAAACCTTTCCCAAATAGCTAAAAAATTAAATAATTTTTTGGGAGACATAATTCTAAATAGTCTATAAAATAAATGTTTTTTAAAATACACATGTAGAACACTAAAGCATATCAGTAAAATAGTGCATATTAATTATAATTATAAATGAAAGCTCTAAGTCAATATTAGTGTGTAACTACCATACTAAGTCTTCAAAAATGTCATCAGTTATTTAGTTGCCACTCTGTGGAAAGCACCAAAATAAGCCAAGTATAAAGAAAAAGAAAGGATCAATGAACAAAGATCTTGCCCTGGGGCAGTTCTTAATCTAATCAGGGAGGAAGAATTATCATTAACAAAAGACCCATTATGACATAATACAGAAGGAATATTGTAACAAGAATGTAATTAGTAACAACATTTCTTATATATACAGGAACACTGATACATTAAAAATAGGGAATAGTAGATTTATTATAAAAACCAGATTTGAGCCTCATTTAAATAGGCTGATTTAATCAGAGTTCTGGAGAATAATTATGTAACTCAGAATATATATTTATGTATATATATTTCATATATACATGTACAAAAATGTCATATATATGGAAATGAGCCAGTCTCAAGTTAAACATATTATAAATTAAGGACCTAATATGCACAGAGTATAAACATTTATTAAAGAAAATTTGTTTTTAAGATTAACACAGTGACCAGGAGAATTAATCGTATACATACAAAAAGATGGCTTGGAATTCCATTACTTTTTACATGTGCATAAACTTAAGTATCAGCACCAAAGTCAAAGTGGTAATTACCACTAACCACATATCCAAATAGCTGTATATGTTGCAACATAAAAAATATTGACAAATTGGGTTCTCCTAAACAATATGTTAGTGAGGCAAGTGAAGAATGAGCCACCAGCGATAAAAAAAAAAATGAACTGATCATGATTATTTTTACATAAAACTAAATATAATCACAATCTACTTGTCATTCCCATTGGAAGTGGCTATACTAAGGATGACTATAAAAAATGAGATGATTTCCATGTATAACTTTTAGAATAAGTCTAAGTATTTTATCATCAAATTTACATACATAACTCCTAATTATTCAGACACCCTTAAATATTCAGAAAGTCTAAAATTAGAATGTTAATACTACAATATTTTTAAAAGTCTTTAAAATTCTTTACAGTTGTAAATTATTTTAGCTGAACTTTTCACTCAAATTAATTATAAATGTTAATTATAAATGTTCACTCATAAATTAGTTATAAATGTTTCAAATAACTCTGTAATTTGACATGCTTTACAAACCATATGAAATATTCAAGCCAAATAAAGTGGTATTCAAGTTCAAACTTACAGCTCAATTGCCTTGTTCCACATGATAACATATCCAGAAAGAATGAAAGATTCAATATTTACAATATGTGTATTTCCTCTTTCTGTTCCAACATAGAGCCATTTACTCTGGAAAGGTAGATGACAGTAAGTAATTCTGAAAGAAAGAAAATTATAATTAAAATATCTAAATTTTATGTTTGGTCAGCATTTTATTTTCCTTATACTTACTAGGTAGTGATAGCTACATGAATAATAAAATTTACTATACACTCAAGTAGCATTTAGTTATTAGTAGAGGGTAGAGCATAAATAACAAGAGTATACCATTAAAAACAATAATGATAACAATAACCACTATTAAATAAGTGTCTACCGTGGGCATTAACATGTATTATTTCTAATTCTCTTCAGAATTAGAGCACTCCAAGACAAATATATAATTCTATTTTATGAGAGGAAACTGAGGCCAAGATCTTTTATTTTAGTTTCATTGGACTGGCAGCTAATAAGTAGAAAAACCAGGATTTAAATCCATTCCTGTTTGGTTGCAAAATTAGCAAATTTCTACACTGGTGGTTTTTCTTTGGTAATATTCACTTCAAATAGAAATTAGGTACATCTAAAACATACATTTCAGAGATAATCAGAGAATTTGTAGCTTTCTTTCATAAGATCATAAATTATTTACTTTTTATGCAGATGCTTGGCATCTTAATAGTATAAAGTAAGCTTATAAGATCAGAGATCAACTCTACTATTCCTTTATTTTTTTGTACTAACTTTATCTGCACAATGGGCATTCTGACCAATTCTAGGAAACTATTCTATAGCGAAAGAAACCATGATTCCTATAATTAAAATCTGGGAATTTACCAGAATCTTCTATTCACTGCATATCACTCTAATTTTGCCTACTCCCACTCATTAATCACTCATAAAAAAGGGGGAGATAAATGCCAAAACCTGTTACTGAATCACAATATTTTTTAAAATTTTTATTTATTTATTCGACAGAGAGAGAGAGGGAGATCACAAGCAGGCAGAGAGGCAGGCAGAGAGAGAGGGGGAAGCAGGCTCCCCGCTGAGCAGAGAATTCGATGCGGGACTTGATCCCAGGACCCTGAGATCATGACCTGAGCCAAAGACAGAGGCCTAAACCACTGAGCCACCCAGGTGCCCCCTGAATCACAATATTTCCTAAAATTTATTCAGAAAAAGAGCTGGTACATTGTTAAAAGAGAAGGACAGAATTCTGATGCCAGGCAGACAGACCAATATGGAATGTAAATGGACCAAAAAGGAATGTAAATGGTAAATTCACAACAAAATTCCACCTTCACCTTATACCTCTTTTTATATAAAAGTGAACATCCAGTCTGTTGAATTTATATTCTTTTTTATATAAAAGTGAACATCCAGTCTGTTGAATTTATATTCTCACTCTGGTTCACTGAATTATTCAACAGAAACTAAACTTCATCTATTCAAAAGTATTCTGCTGAAAGCCCCTTGCACATCACAACCAAAAAACTAGAAACCCTGCTATTAAATATGCACTTATGGTTAATTGAAGATCTAATTAATGTGCAACCTATATGGTATTGAACAATTCTGATTAAAACCCAAAGTCTAGAATTGCTGTTGTCAAGGGATATTTAATAATTTCCCATAGGAAATAACTTGATGGTCATGTTTTTAAGGCCATGAAGCATCTATTTTCAATTCAGTTTAAGTAGAAAAAGGAAACTCATTTTAAAGAGGATTTAAGACCACCTTTTCTGAATCACAAGGAAAGTAGAAAAAAAAAAAACTAATCCAATAAAAGTAGATAAAAATTTAGGAGTTCAGGTAGAAAAAGAGCAAACTTCAATATGACATAGTCATTTTCAAGGTTAAGAAGAAAAGGCTGATATCCAGGATCTATAAAAAACTTCCCAAACTCAACACACACAAAACAGATGATCATGTCAAAAAATGGGCAGAAGACATGGACAGACACTTCTCCAATGAAGACATACAAATGGCTATCAGGCACATGAAAAAATGTTCATCATCACTAGCCATCAGGGAGATTCAAATCAAAACCACATTGAGATACCACCTTACACCAGTTAGAATGGCCAAAATTAATAAGACAGTAAACAATCTGTGTTGGAGAGGATGTGGAGAAAGGCGAACCCTCTTACACTGTTGGTGGGAATGCAAGTTGGTACAGCCACTTTGGAAAACAGTGTGGAGATTCCTTAAGAAATTAAAAATAGAGCTTCCCTATGACCCTGCAATTGCACTACTGGGTATTTACCCCAAAGATACAGATGTAGTGAAAAGAAGGGCCATCTGTACCCTAATGTTTATAGCAGCAATGGCCACAGTTGCCAAACTGTGGAGAGAACCAAGATGCCCTTCAACGGACAAATG